GAGCTCAGTAAGAACAATTGGGGTGTGCACTGCCATGATACAGTTCAAGTACCTAGCTCTATACCGACCTGACTTGAACTCAAAGTAGATTCTGTAACAGTGTGGTCCACTGTTCTAAAAAAACATAAAGGTTCTAGATCTGCACTGTCCAATAGCTATTCGTGGCTATTGAGCACTAGAAATGTGGCTAATGCAATAAAGAACTGAATTTCTAATTTAAATTAATTTAAATAGTCACAGGTGGCAAGTGGCTACTACACTAGGCAGCACGGATGCAGAAAATTTTCATCACTGCAGTTTGATTGGACAGTGCTGCTCTAAAACATCCTCCAAGCAATACTCTGAATATTGCTATCAGCTAAGTTTTTAATGAATATGGGTAACGAGGAACTCCAGACTCCAGTCCTTGACACCTACCTGGTTTATTGTCAAATCCCTGTTCCCAGATGAATGTAAACCCCTATGCCTTAGGCTGTGGCGCAGTCTGGTTGCACTGTGAAAAGTCCAAGGATGAGCAACTGAACAGAATGCCAGCCTATGTGTAGGCATGGCAAGGCCAGGATCCTACCTAAAAAATTGTTTTGAATTCCCTTTGGAGCACAAAGGAATGAGCTTGATCCCAATGTCTACTTCATCTACCATAGCCGGAATTGTTTTGGCCTGAACAATTTTAAAGGGTGGTTTAACCGGATGCTTGTTTCACTTTCCCCCAATGTTTTATTAACTTCGGGAAAAGCTACTGGTGTTCCCTCCAAGCTACACTATTTGGAAAAGGCACATCAAGATGATTAAGTAAGATAAGCTGTAGTATGGGTCCCAGATGAAAGGGAGTAACAATTGCTGAAATCAATAAAATGATTTCACAAAAATCATGTAATAAAAATGCAAAGTAAAGGGAAAGTAATTTATAATAAAATGTGTATTTCAATTTGTAAATGCTCAGGCACAACTACATTAGAAGAAACAGTAAGTCATCAATACCTATAATAGAATTATCTTGGTGACTTAATTATCATCAATAGCCCTGCTGTCAATAACAAGATTTTTTGAAATGGGTACAATTCTTTATCAAGTTTTGAACAAAATATAGTAGAATTTTCTCTTAATTATGTGGTGGTTGTGTTTTTGGAAAATTCATGATACATTAAAACTATACCAAAAGATACCTTGTTTTAAAATGGAATTGGGTTTTAGGCTCAGATAACTAGTTTGGTTTGTTTTTTTAAGCACATGAATATCCAACAGAACATTTCAAGAATCATGTGGGAGGCTGGGTGCCATGGCTCATACCTGTAATCCTAGCACTCTGGGAGGCTTAGGTGGGAGGACTGCTTGAGCACAGGAATTCAAGGCCAGCCTGCGCAAGAGTGAGACCCCGTCTTTACAAAAAATAGAAAAATTAGCTGGGCATGGTGGTACATAGCTGTAGTCCCAGCTACTTGGGAGGCTGAGGAAGGAGGCTCGCTTGAGCCCAGGAGTTTGAGGTTGCAGTGAGCTATGACACCACTGCACTCTAGCTCAGGCAACAAAGTGAAATCCTGTCTCAAAAAAAAAAAAAAAAAAAGAAAAAAAATCATGTGGGATGTAGAGCAGCAATTCTTTGTTGGGCTAAATTGTCCCATGTGCCGTGGGACATAAAATATCTATGGCCCCTGCCCACTAATTGCCAGCAGTCATTTCTAAAACCATTAGTCCAAGCCCAACACATGAATTCCACCAGCCCCACTGTCTCCAATGACTGGCTGGTTCATCAATCCAGGTCTAAGTCAACCAGTGTATGGCATTGGTTGGTTTCAGAACCGGGTACATGATGAATGTCAGTCAACAAAACAGCAGAATTTTGCTGGGGGCTTTGTAGCAAAGGGAGGGAGTCACAGAGAAGAGGTCTCTTCTTTACATAGTTACAAATGGATGTGATGCCTGAAAATTCTGTATTCATCACAGAACCAGCTGGAGGATGCAGCCAACAAATAGGAGGGCAGAGCCAAAAGCACAGGGGAACTGAGCTAAAGATTTTGGATTATGTCACCCGTGGGGTCTAGCCTACCTCTTTATGTAAATAGACTTTATGTAACTGGACTTCCAGTTACATAAAACAGTAAATTTCCTATGTGTTAAACTGTTTTGAATTTGGATTTTGGTTCTTGCAGCTGAAAGCACTTTGATAACATACACAAACAATTTCACAAGTCAAAGACTGGGGCCTGGTGTTAAAAAACACCAAAAACAAAAACAAAAGCGAATATTGTTCCTGGACATCTACACCAAGTGGTAAACCTGTGGCAGGCGACACTGGTCGAAAGCCTGCTTGGTCCTTATGTAAAGGCCTGTGTAGCTCACCTGACAAGTGACAGGCACACTGGGGGAGAAAGACCAGCACAGCTCACACATGCAGCTTGCTGGGGAGAACGCATGAATGGCAAAAAACTATTTATTCTGAGAAAATGGAGCTACAGGTAAAAGAGTAACGTTATCAGTATTTGTGTACAAAGAGCTCTACAGATGCTCTGTGGACAGATGGGCTTGTAAAAATAGATCAAGTCCCTGCTCTCATGAAGCTTACAATTAAAGAAACAAATTAAAAAAATACCATGTTCACAGAGAAACAGATCAAGAAATGCAAAATAACTGTAATAAAACTGAGCATGGTGAGTGGAGGGAAACGAAGGGTAGAGAAAGGGGCAGTGAGGTGTATTATGGAAGGTTTTCTGAACACACCAGGGTTGAAGTTTGAATGTTAAAGGTTATGACACTGGAAGAACATGTAAAAATGGTGCATTATAGAAGGAGGAAAAGATAAGTATATAGGAACAGGAGTGGACAATTTAGAGATGTCCTGCTGACGTGGCATCAGGTGAGGTTCTGGATACATGGCTCCGTTGGCAGCTTCATGACAGACAGCGGGGCAGGAGGAAAGAGCAGGTATAATTGAGGATAGAGCCTCAATCTGGAACTTATCATGTCCTAACTATTTGACCTTGGACGAGCTACCTAACCTTCTCTGTGTCAGTTTTCTTATCTTATAAAATGGGCACATGCAGTGCCCAAGGGGGCATAAGGATGAAATGAGATGGCGCATGCTAAGTGGCCTGCATAATTTTGGGAGGTGCTTGATCATGGTAGTTATTATCACTCTTAAATCCACAAGCAATTCACTTAAATTAGTTTCAGAGCATTTACAAGGCAAGCATATATAAAACTCAATATACTTATCATGTCAGGTTTGAAAAATGCTTTGTTTTTAAACAGTTAATTGCAACCCATTATAAAATCCCCAAATTAAAATAAAAACTATGATACACTAAAAAAATGAATTAAGATTAAGGGATTTATAAATACATTTATTGATGGTATTACTGAATAACGAATACAGAGAACAGAATATAAAGAAATCAGCATTTAAAAGGAAACATTAATCTTTAAAAATGCAGTATATTTATATACATATATTGACCCATTTTGTATGTTTAGATTTACAAACAAATGTAAAGCTAATTCCAAAGCTTTCATTCTTAATATACTTCAATTTGAGTTCTAATATTCTCTATTCTAAAGCAAACTATTTTTTTGCTGTATTTACAAAGTATGATTTATTTTGTTTGTATCTAACTTAAAAGCAAGACTCTGCAAGCTGATTCTGAAGCAGCTAGTTATTCA